CTGACAGCATTATTTGTCAATACATTTAAAGCCTAGCAAAAATCTCTTATATTTGAGGATTCTATACTATAAATATTTGCTCATTCGGCATTCACTCTCTTTTTTATGCCAAATTTTGCGAATACCTCTATGACTATATATAGACATACATTGCTTTCCCAATTTCGGTCTCACTCTCAGCAATTGGGATGTTATTTATGTGCTATTTTTTAACCGCATTTTTTTGTCTGTCAGTTGCGAACGCCTGAAATTTAAACAAGCTCCAACAATCTAGAGCGAGTCGACTATAAATAAGAAGCCCTAGTTATATCTGTCTGGTTTAAGCATTGTTTTGGTAAATACACAGAATGCTTTGCATATAGCCTCGACATGCGGGAGGCAGTCTCTCGTAATGTATGCATAGGTCGACACTAAGTGGATTCCAACAGTGGACAACAGGGCGGCTAATTAATGCGTTATATACGCCTGTAATATTTCTGGTAATTACAATCCGAAACTAGCAAAGTTACCAAAGAAATTTGCATAAACAGCAAAAATAATAAAAAAAATGTTGAAAACAAAAAGTTGTGAATGAAATTATTTCGAAATTAATTTGAATAAAATATGCAATATAAAAAATAAAAAATAGGGCAAAATGCAAGCGCAGCGAATTTTCAATATTTTCATTTTATGTCGCTTGCGTTCGCTCGGGATGCCGCCTCCGCTTTCGAGGCCATCAAAAGTGCAACACGAAGCCCCCCTGGCGACATTATGAAATTGTCTCGTATGTGATAGGCATGAGCTGAGATCAGGTGGCCATAGTGCTGGCAGTTTGGCCAATGCCTAAAGTCAAATTCAGCTGGAATTGCAGCCCAGTGTGAAAAAGAGCAGTGAATAAGAATTCAGCGTGGCTGGGTCAATATTAAAGGCAAGCTTTAAGTAAAGAGAGAAGCGAAGCGAGTAGGTCGTGAATGGGCAGCCAGTCACAAAAGGTCAATGGTAAAGCAGAGCGAATGTAAAACACAAGCACCAAAGCGAGAAGGAATGCAATAAGCAGAGCAACGAGAGAAGCGAAGCGAACATGACTGACCCGGCATTGTTTAAATAGCGAAGTGTAAAGCGCTGCAAGAAGTAAGCTGGAATGTCAGGAGATTATGCATGAGAATCAATTGCAGAAGAGAAAATCTCGGCGGGGCTCCGAACACTTCGAATTTAGCCGTATTTGGCTGCAATCTGGCCAGCACTAGCAGCTGTTGTTCTCGTCGCCATTTTGGAATGGCTACACGCATAAATGAATGCTGAAATCAGCAACAGGGACAGCTCAATGGGTAACAAATGGCGGCCAGATAGCCGAACCGAGCAAAAACCGGATCCGGTAACGGGTAACGGGTAACGGGTAACAGGTAACGGCGCTACTGTGCAAACAATGCAAAATGTGGCAATAAATGACAGTAACTAGTCAGCAACAATAACGGCGCACGGCATGCGAATGAGCATGTGAATACGAATGAGTATATATTCACACACTCACACACACATATATAACATATATATATATATATGTATATTTCTATACAATATGCATGCAAAACATGCACCCACACACATGCGAACGATGTGCAATCGGAAATGGAGAGTTCGCATTTGCAAACATGCCTCACAATCTGTGCTTAAAACAAATCAGAACGTGTCACTGGGTTAGACATGACTATGAGATACTCTACTCTAGCTGAAAAGCTAATGGAACCATAGAAGGGAATTGTCTTAATGATGAATGTATCTTCTTTGTCTTGAGACTTCAGTTTTCTATTACTAAGAGCTTAGATAGAAGTCGACTCGGAGAAACCTTCATGTGAAAAATTTCTCCAATGATTATTTCGCATATTTAAATTATAATATCGAAATGCTTGAACTTAAACAGGGTTTCTCTAGAACCCATATAAATGAACAAAAACACGTCTAGCTCACAGCTAACTTGAAACCAATATACTCCATTTGATTTGCAAAAGTAGAGTACAATAATCGTAGTATGACTAGCAGCGCACGTATGAAAAGTGATTTTAAAAATGCAAATGCCATAAGGAACTAACAATAACTGTGATTATAAATGCAAAATATAAACAAAGTCAGACAACAGTAAGATAAGTGAATCAAAACTAACCGGAAGTAGACGCCAGGCGTGCGCTGATCCAGATCGGAGGGATATATGCGGCCCACGCGGCACTTGCTGAAGAAGATGCCAATGAAGGAGGGATCACGCTTGTGGGGCCAATCCCTGATGGGGAAGACCAAGGGATAGGTCAGATACTCGGGTGGATCCGAGAACTCCAAGTAGCCATTGAGCGAGAGCTAGAAAAGCAAAGATACGAAATATTATATGGTTTAAGCCAGGCCAATAGGATGTCGACTCACTCGGGTGTAGTTGAAGCGGAAGCCATAGAAGGGCATCTGGAAGTTAAGATTTTTGTGCAGCTGCGTCATCGAGGCGTGTATATCGAACTGGTAATCGCCGCGTCCGCCATAGCTGTCCTTGTCGAAGAACCAGTACAAGAAGTTGGAGCGCAGCTCAGCCAGGCGGGCGGGCGTGATGGTGTAACCACCAGCAGCCGTTGAGGGCGTGTCCGGTGGCGCCACATTATTGTTGGGATCTGCCGGACAAGAGGAAAATATATGGACACATTTAGATATAAGCATTAAAGTCAAGTCTGCAGTTGCCATTATAATAATTTCACATTTCAGCAGCTAATCCTCGGAGATTACGTATTCAATTTCGGAAAAAGAGCGTGCCGTGGCAAGCGATGGCCACACCAGCTTCTAGCCGGCGGCATTTCAATTTAGGCCCGTTGCATGCAACGCTCGGCACATAAACTGAATAACTTTGCACTTGCATTGCAATCTTCGCCGTTCCGCTTGCCGCATGTCAACCCGCACATGCCACTTACCACTTGCCACTTGCCACGTGCCTAACTGCAGCCTCTTGCAGCGTCTTTCTGCTGACTCACTTACAAAATTGCTGCCTCGCTCCCTACTGCACTTAGCCATTAAAGGTCACAGTTAATATTCATTTCAGTTTTACCAACTTGCCAGCAACATTTTCTGGTGCTTTCCTTTTTACTTTCGCTCCGGCTTTACTATCCACTCGCTTACAAAGCGTTTGGGGTATATTGGCTTTGCCTAACATACATTTGAAATCGAAGAGATTTGAAACTTGGACTATGGCTATGCTCACTTAAGTCCTCACCTCTCGCGAAAGTCTCTCTAGAGTTACAGCTTTTCTCCAGTCTCAGTTATAACTTCTTCTGTTTGCTCTCAAAGTGTGCATTAAGCAGTCACTTATACCCGCCTTGGATTTGTTCACTCGTTTTTGCCATCGTTTCCGGCAGTTTTTTGTAATTTCTTTTATTTTTATTTTTTGTTGCGTCTGCTCTTCGCGTTGTCTTTTTAAAGCAATTTAAGCCGACTAATGTTTGAGGGACACAAAAAGCAGCCGCAGCAAGCCAAAGATCTTAGCCCAGGATTTTCAAAGGAAGTGAATCGCTCGTAGGCAGCCTGTCTGTGGCTTTTGCCTGTTTGCATTTCCAACCCTTGGGTAATATCTTTTCAATAGACAACTCTCAAGCTGAAACTATTTTCTTTATAGTAAATAATACTTAGAAATTCTGAGTTAAATGGAAATTGCACAAAGAAAAGGAAGAGTTTTTATTTTTTAATAGTAGTCCGATTGCCCTCAATTATTTTTCTTCCTTTTTTAGGGCTTTGCTTAGGGCAGAGTTTTGAATAAAAAATATGTTGATGTGAATGTTAGATGTTAGGTCTATTGAAAACATAGTTATGGAAGTTAAATTTAAATTAATTTACTTCTATCTTATAAAGTAGAAAAATATATTTTCTGAGTGTTAAATTTTTATTTTAACTTTTATTATTTTTCTTTTTATTTTTTAATTTGCTTTTAATTTGTTTTAATCATTTTTTAAATTTACTTTTAAGTTTGTTAAACTTGATTTAAATTTTTTACATTGTATTTTATTTTTGCATTAAATATTATTCACTCTTTACTATAAAATATTCTCTAAAATTCTCTATTTAATTTTAATTTCTTGTTTATTTACAACATTTCCTTTGTAAATCTCTTAAAGAACCTCTCGCTGCCTTATAATTTATATATTTCACTTATTTAATGAATCTCTCAATTCATTTCACCTTTGACAAAACCTCATTAATTGATGCTATGAAGACCTCACACAGGATATTCCCAGAGCAGGACTTAACCATTCAGTGGCCAATTAATGCATCGATTCCCAATGAGACAACGATTTATTCATCCATTAAGCTCTTTGCTGCCCTGCTCTGGCAGGGCAGACAATTATTAAGTGCATTTCAATGATGATGATATATAAGTAGTATAATGCCCGATAATTGTTGATGGCAGTTGTGGCTAATTAATAGTCAGCTGGACGCTTGCCTAAGCGGCGACCAGGTGAGGGCCTTTTTCACTTCTGCTTGAACTGTTTTTCGCGCAGCTGTCGCAGAATGGATCAGTTTTTAATCTATTTATGAATCAGTGTGGAGTTGACAGGCCATAAAATGTTATCCTGCCAACACTAATCCTTTTTGGGTAACAACACGATGAGTGCTGTTGCTGCTGCTGTTGAAAAAACTGTTCGCTCAGGTAGGTGTGGGCGTTGGGATTAGTGCTTGATTTATGGTCGCTTGGAAAGTACGCAAAATTCGCGTGCGCGACTCGCTGTTCGAGCGAAATCTTGCACGGTTTTTCTTTATTACTGACAAATTTTCCGAAATTCATATTCGCAGGCAAGTCAAATTTTGCGACCAAAATTAATCTGGGCAACTTTTTAGTTAACTACCTGAGGTATGCTGGCCAGCTGCTGATTTGTGGCAGGTAGCTAGACATTGTGCTGCTATATAAACTTGCAACACGCTCGCATGTAGCACAGTCAACACGCAACACTCGACACAAGATGAGCATCAGCACGTTTAACTTTCAGTTTTACAATTACAAGTTGCCCGCCGCCATGCCACAGCTAAATACGGCCACTAGCTTCAGCGAGCTGGAAATGGACATTGACGAGGAGGAGCAGCAAATGCCAGCGATTACATCCACGCCATTGCCAGCTGTCAAGCCAGCTCCATCCCCAGCCAAGCCTCGCTACACCAGCGAACTGTCTTTGGCACTCGGCAGCCCAGATGTCTGTAAAACGCAATCGCTGCGTCCGCAGCTGCATCGACCACAGAAGCGCTGGTCCATGGAATTGCGTGAAAAGGTTCTGGAAATGTCCAAGCGCAACAATGGCTCCGATGAGCAACTATCGCCACAGCCGCAGCCGCTGTCAACGGATTGCAATACCACATTTTGTGGCAGCACCAATGCGCCAGATGAACCCGCTGCAGTGATCACGCGCAGCGTTAGTGACAAAATCAACTTCTTCAACAAGCTAACCAACACCTACGAATCGCCCAGTTGCCTCAGCTCGAACACAAATGGTAATAGTTTTATATCCATGCTGCGATCGAGCCGCCCACAGGGCGTGGCGACGATGGGTGGCAATGCAGCAGTGCCGCCGCCAAAACCCAAGCGGTTGGGCAGCACACCCGCCACACCCAGCAACACAACAGCGCAACATCTGCTGTTTGCCACGCCCACTGCCAAGCCGCCCAGCAACGGAGGAGGCATACAACGCAAAAGCTCATTGCGCCGCAAGCCCTCAGTGGAGAAATCTCGCGCCACGATTGCTCGTCAAAATTCAAATGCAACGCTGCGACCGCAACGACATGCCATGATGGAGGACCTGAGCCTCGTTGTGCCCGTGCGACTACGCATCGCCGAATACGAGCAGCGCATATCGATGAGTGCATAGGAATGAAGCCACTGACGCCACGCCCCATGAGTCGATTGGATGAATGGACCAAACTAGTGCAAGCTCCCAAGGATTAGCTCTAATTTAGCTCTTTAGTCATAGCCAAGTGTTCAACATAAATTTATGAAATTTTAAAGTGTAAAACATAATGAAATACTTAGAAATATAGAGAAAACTAAACACAATTTGTTTATTTTTTTTTTTTTGCCAGGGATTATATACAATATATATAAGCAACATCTGGCATCATTCAATAAATTCATATTCCATATGCAAACAGCTTATCTGCTGTATCCTTGATATAGTTAGCAATGAGGTCACCGTCAGAGCACTAGCTCCATATAGGTTAAGGACGTAGGTAAAATTTATATAAGAAAATTTAGTCATTATGTGTAACCAGAAGTGACTAATGAACAGAAAAGCAGTTCTCTTTCATTATATCAGCTCCGATTACAAGTTATCAAAAAAGTTGTAAACTGAATCATTGAAAATATATAATAAGGCACACCTGTTTATATATAGACATGCACCTGCTCTCTCTCTCTCTCTCTTCCTTTTTCTCTCTCTCTCTCTTCCTTTTTCTCTCTCTCTCTCTCTTTGTCTCTCCCACTCTTTCTCCACTCTGATTTCACTTGTTTTGTTTGCGCAGCAAAGGCACAACAATCGTTAGCTTTAAATATCTATACTGTTGGCTTTATCTTATCGGCTAGTAAAGACTGATTCCGTCCACGCAACAGAGAGACAACTGTGTGCGCGAGTGTTTTGAGTCCAAGTTAGCTATCGAGCAAATATTGGTTAGGCATCCGAGCCAAACGCTGCTTGCTGATAAGATAGTTGAACGTTCAACGCTGCGTATGAGTAATTGTGAACTGAATCAGCAACGATTGGTAGCCCGTTACACTTACCCCAATTGTAGCCAGTAGAATCCAAATCGTAGAGCTCGCCCAGATAGTCGAAGGGCATGACTAGTGCACCGGATTTGGCCTGCGGTTTGAGGCCAGCCACGGTGAGAATGTCATCGGTGCCACGACTAGAGGCAGCGCTGAATGCCACTGGGCTGGATGCAACTTTGGCTTTGACTGCGGGCGCCGCACTGGGCGTGGCTGCCGGCTTAGCGGCCACCACTTTGTCCACCTTTTTGACAGCAGGTGCCACTGGTGCTGGTACTGCTGGTGCTGCTGCAGCTGGCGGCAGTGGCTCAACAATTTCCACAAATTCCACTGCCTGCGCCTTTTTGCTTGCTTTGTTCGCGACTGGCGAGTTTATAATTTGATCTTCCACTTCCGCTGAGATATTCTCATTGGCCAGCACATAGGCCATGAAGCCGCAGGCCAGCGCACACACCACAAACAGTTTGAAGCGCATTTTCACAATTGCTGCGCCAAACACCTTTTGCTTATTTTTTCGATTCGCTCGATTCGTAATTCGTTTCGTTTTCCGTACTGAAAGATAGCACACAAAGGGGGATAATTTATTTAACTCGAACTTTATTTTTACTCTAGTTTTTCACTTGCTGTATCGATGACATCATCAACAGTCACTTTACAACACTTAGAAACTAAAGTACAGTTAATGAAAGTAATTTGGTAATTTAGAACAATTTAAAATTGGAATTTTAGTTTTTCACTTTTGAACTATTGTTTCAAAATCATATTTTCACTTGATGATATCATCAGCAATTTCTTATCAGGCAGATATATATGCTCTTCATGGCACTGTGCAACACTACCAACCTTATAGACAGCTAAATAAGTACGTTCGTTAGGGCGCCACGCTCAGTTCAGACTGAAGTCGGGGCGTTGCCAAAACCTGTCGACTGCCTGCACCTGTCAGTGTTTATTCGATTGTGAAATCTTGGAATACCGTTATCTATTATGCTCCATAGCTATTGCGTGCGCTATCTTATCGGGTAAAGCCACAACGCACTGATAAGGCATTCCTACACTATTCGGCGCTCCACATTATGTTGGCCAAGTCGAATTGCTCTGGTTATTGTGCAAGTTTTTCGTTTCCAAATGCTGTTGTTTATTCAATGCTCTCTTATTTAACTCTCTCTCTCTCTCGCTCTCTGCGTGTCTCCATATCTGTTCGCCTCAGCTTTTGTTGACTTTAGCCACGATTTGTGATTCATTTCCATTACAGTTAATCACTCTTCCTTACTTCAATGGCCATCCTCTGGCCCAGCCGTCGCCCGCTAATATAATTATAGACAATGAGCCATGCAGGCACAACAAGTTGGCATTTCCTGTCCATTTATGAATGAACTCAGCGTCACATTAATTACTACTTCATTTCGACACACAATGAAAATGCCATAAATATTTGCAAGGCGTAGTAGATCTGTATATAGAAAAGTGTTAGATAAATCTGGAACATTTATTTAATTTTCACAAATTTATTTCGTAATAAATCTAGTCTAGAAGCTAACATTCTATAATAAACCTAAAGTTTCATAAAGTACTTAAAATTTTATTACGCAACAAATGAAATCAAAGAACGCGATTGTATGGGTGAAACCTTTTTCATACGGATATCAGTTTTATATGAAGTTAGATTACTCTATCGATAAAATAATGCATATTTTAGGCTTCAATGTCAAGCACAAAAGCTGATTAAGCTGCCTGAATATAGATTGCATTTGGTGCAGGATATTGTAGTAGTAGGCTTGTGGACAGAATCGGGCAGAGTGATCAAATAAGTACAATGGGAATAGAAATTTAATGAAAATATAAGATGACATTGTTTTTGGTATTATACATGTCATTATGTATGTCAACTACTTTGTGGACAAGAGCTACACCTGCTAGACTCCTGTCCACAGTTAAATAACGTTTTTTCACCTGTGCGAACTATCAGCAGTCTAGTTATACAGCTGTTCATATACTAATCTAATGCAAAATTAGATCGAATTGTGAGAAAAAGTAATAAAATTGCTGAGTATTTGGGATCCCACAGGGATTATTCATCAGATGGGATCCCAAGCACCACCTCGCTTACTACTTTTCATCACAATTCAATCAACATTTTGCATTAAGCTTTACAATATACCTATATTCACACGCAGTATAGATTTATGCATTTTTGATCTTCAGAATTGTTCACTTATGCAAAAACATATATTTTCAGTTTTCATTTCAAACGTATTGACATCAGACAAAGAAGTCCTAATCAGGTTTGATATTCATACTTAATTTTGACGCCCGCCTAAAAGTATGCAACAAAAATACAACAAGATAATGAGAAATGTGTATATACAAAAAAAACAGCTGGAACAATGCCAAAGAAGAGGAAGAGAGAAATAGTTCCAGTGTGGACGTTGACTAAGTAAACTAATTGAGAAACTGCAAAGAAAGAGAGGCCAAAAAGAGAGCAAAGTGAAGCGCTTGTCTCTATCTAGAAGAGGTCTGCTGATCGCTTTGCTTATCAGCAAAGCAGTAGCCCAAGGGGGTCTGAGGCACACAGAATGATTTTTAGTTCTGGGTCGAACGCGAGCCGCGGCAGTTGACGACGGGCACGAAATCAGCTGTTAAGAAACTTAAAAAATATAATATATATATAAATTTAATAACAATCGGCAAAATGCTGCGAAACTTTGCGATCGCGAGAAATAAATTGGCTGGCGTGCCACGCCCACAGCGCAACTATCACAGCAAAGGGGGCGTATGGGGCTATCGACCGGTGGCCAGGCGTGCCTACGAAGGTATTATTATAAATACAATAAAACGACGATTTATATATTTGTACCTGAAAGTGAATTGTGCTACAAATCTAGACGTGTAATCAGCTCCCAGCTAAAAGATTGCAACGGCTTCCTTCATAATCTGGTTGTATAAAATTTCCAGCTGCTGAGATAACAATCATTTAGTAGCAAACACGTCTGATAAGTCGAATGAATTCAAAAACTAAAGTAAATTGTATTGAAATATTTTTATGGCAGGCGCTGTACACAATTTCTGACCAATTTTGTTGTCGTTTTTGTCTGTTTATCAATGCGTGTTTGAGTGTCGCCGCAAACCCTTCACCTACAACAACAACACAACAGCAGCCGCAACGAAAAACAACAATGCGAATTGCTGTGGACAAACTAACACAAGCCATGCAACTCATACTTGTTGGCTGCTTGCAATTGTCGGCTCGAACACGTCGCATACGCACATCGAACATGTGTACAGCAACCTGTTGCAACCTTAAATAAGTTTGTTTTTGTTTGATCCAACGAAAAATCACTTTAATAGTCAAATTTAGAGTTAACTATTTATTTATAACATATAACGAAGCAGATTTAGTGATTTAGTGCAGCTCAGTCGAAACTCTTATAGCTTCTTAAAGGTCTGCTTTGAGCTAAAATAAAATTTCAAGATAAACTTCTAGCTCTCTTCATTCAATTATTAAGTCATTCTAAGCCTCTTTATTATTTCTTCAAAAATCCAACACAGATATAGAAAATAATCTGAATGGTCAGTATATCGTCACAGTTTTTCCTAATCTACGATTTTTTAATGGAAAACTAACATGACAGCAACCGAGTTTGCCAATAAAGTCAATCATTAGGCCTTGCCATCAGTCTGGGCCATGATTAAAACGATTTTCAGTTGCAAAAACGAAGCCTAGGAAAACAAAACACACGTACACACATCTAAACACATAGTGGGTGCCGGGATGTGTGTGTGTGTGCACAGCAAAATAACAAAGTTGAGCAAACAAAAACCCAAAAATTGCGAATTGGACTTCTGAGTCTCTGGCCCGGACTTAGAGAGCCACACAATTGGCAGTGTTCATTGAATGAGGGCAGGTGTAAAGGGGCAAGGTGAGGAGTCTTATCAACACGAGGCACGTCAGTTCCTATTAACATGCCAAAGGAGAGAGATAGACGGCGATAGAGAGTGAAAAAGGGCACGTAGTATTAAAGAAAAGACCCTGTACCTTTACACTCAGAGTCATATAGATTTATAAATCCAACTTTAATCGGACTAGAATTTTAAGCAGAGAAAAAGGCTGTTTCAATAAACTAAATATATTTGTATATAAGAGATATGTTTCTATGTAGCTATCAGTTTTGCCATAGCTTTGCTGCAGTATAAAACATTGTCTAGGTCAGTTTTTAAGCT